GGTATGTTTATTAGTAAAAGGTTCTGCTGCAAGAGACAGAAATTCAAAAATGACTAAGCTTTAACCAAATTAGAAATCTATTTCTCTCTGTTGACATAAATGTAGGCCGGTGTGGGTGACTCCACAGTCATCCAGAGCCCAGGCTGGCTTATCCAAAGCGTCTGCCTTTGTCCAGTTACTGAATCTGTTTTCCAACCAGTAAAAAAAAAAAAAGAAAAAGAAAAGAAAGGGGGTGATGGCGAGCTGCCCCCTATTTAAAATGAATTTAGTCCAAGATTCTTAATTATACCAGCAAAAACCTTTTTCTCCAAATTAGGTCACAATCACAGTTATGGGGTGGGGGGAGGGCTGAGATACCTGAACATTTTAAGACGCTGAGGAAATTGCATATCAAGCTTCCATAATATCCATTGGCCAGAACTTTATGGTATGACCACACATACATTCTAAGGAAGGCTGATAAATTTCATCTTTATTCTGGGAAGAGGCGCTCAGCTAAAAGTGCCTTTATTCTATTATTATGGATAGGAGAGATACAACTGCACACACATACCATACTCCGCACTTGACCACGAGATCCCCCAGGGAACCCCTTAATCATCTTTGTTCCCCAACACCTAAGTGTACTCTGATTTGCTGCTTGCTCCACCTCAAGATTACCTTTTAATTCCAACATCTTTTCCAGAAAGATTTCCTAGAAGCTTGCTGGAGACATGAGGGAACTTTTCTCTATTCGTCACCCTGAGAATTGGTTGGGACTTGCTGGAGCTAAGTGTAGGGACTCCCTACAACTGCCAGTCACCCCTGGAATTTTTAGCTCTCAAATCATCCATATTGAGCCTCCAGCAATTTGGCACTTGGAATTTAAACATTCCCAATTTTGGCTCCACCTGTTGGCTGGCGTTCCCAGTTAGCTAGGGTCTCTATAGTTGCCCGTTTCACCAGTTTTCAGGATGGCCTCAGTTTTCTGAGGACTCTAAATGAAATGGTTGCTTTTTGTTTGTTCAGCTTTTTTCTTCTCGAGAAGACCATTTAGGCAGAGGGTGGGTTGGCAAGGGGGAAATTAAAGAGAAAAGGTGAGAGCAAGAAGCAGGAAGCACAAGGAAGAAAGACACTTACCAGCCAGGAGTTCCACTTGGTTGCAGTCACCCCACTTCTTCCATGTCCACTGGGAACTCCTCCAACCTGCCACCCAGTTCCTACGGCTGCCGCTGCAGCCTCCAAAATGGCGATTTTCAACCCTGATTGTTCATTAGAATCCCCTGCGCAGCCCTTAGAAGTCGCTGCAGCTCCCTCTCCTCTAAAGCAAAGCACCTGCAGGGTTCTAATAAGCAGTGATGCTGAGCACCTGTGATCACACTCCCTGAGCGCTGTTACAAAGGCAGCGTCTTAGGACCTCTCTAGACCTTCCTTGCAATCTTGGTGTGAAAAAGGGCCATTTTGTAAATAACTGAATATAATTAAAAAGTTGGGGGTAGCTTGGAAGCTGGGGTTGAAGCAGGCAAAAGGAACTTAAGTGGAAAATAAGTATGAGGCCAAGGAATGAGCATTATGAGTCAACGAGGGAGGAATACCAACTGGGGTGGGGAGGGGCTCTGCTGGTGGACTGAGCAGGATGTCAAGGTGGGACAAATACATCCAATGGTCCCAAATACTCGCTTCCCCTGAGCCTCGTGGTTGCAGTACCATTTACTTCTCTAAGCAGTGATGGCTTCCTTCCACACTGGATCTCGGTACTTTGTGAAGCAAAATAATAACAGGCACCAAACTGCTTTACCCACCACTAGGACTGCAGCATAAAGCATAGGTAGAGTACAGCAGCTAAGAGCTTGGGCTTTCAAAAACGGGGCTGCATGCCCACCTTAGTCATGCCAGTCACTAGCTGGTAACTTTCGGTAAGTCAGCTTGGGTGAGTCACCCAGCTGAGGGTCCTTCCTCATCTACAAAATAAGGATGATACTGGCAGCCATCTCCTAGGGTAAATACAAAATAGATGTGAAACAAAGTGTACCACACCTGGCACAGTGAGAAATATGGGTGTATGGTATATTATTTAAAGTTGAACGCATGCATATTAATATATACAGGATGTATACTAAATAATATATACAAGATAGGGGACCCAGTTCTTCTGGCTTTTTTGTTTGTGTTGTTCATTCTGTCACCTGCCTAAGTTCATTCCAGAGTGCTAAATGAGAGTGAGAACACTTAAAAAGTTATTTTAGGGCCCTCCCTGATGGTGCAACAGGTTAAAGTACAGCACAGCACTGTGAAGCTATGTGCAGTCACTGCAGCGCAAGTTCGACTCCCATTCAGGGAGCTGACCCACGTGACGCAGCAGACCTTGTCTGGCCGGCCCACTGCTCCCCTCAGCAGTGTATTTCAGTCAACCTGCCTGTTCTGTTCCCCACTCTGCCTCTGGTGAGTCCTCTTTCCCCCAACACTGGCCTGTACCCCAGTACTTTGCATAAATAAAAAAATCTTTAAAACAAAGTTATTTTAACCAAATCAATATAAAGAACTGATTTGGGTCCTCATACAATTGGGAAATTGTGAAAATGGGCTTTGCTAGATATTAAGGAATTATTGCTAATTTTCTAGATATAATAATGCAGGATGGGTATTATCTTTTTTAAGTCTTTAGTAAGTAGATTCCTGTTAAAATATTAGGTCTGGCCCTTAATATTACCAATATTTAGTCACATTTGACCTATAAAAACAGCAATTTCATATGGTCCCGATATAGACAGATAGACATTTGTCTGATACATTCCTGCCCATCTAGAGCAGAACATGACACAGAGAGAGGAGCAGTTAAGTGAAATATGTCTAGGATTTTCTTTTCAAATATTTTTGGGTGGGGGGGAGGGTTAAGAGGACAGATAGATGAAATAACATTGTCAACATTAATAACTGTGAGGCAGGGCCCTCCCTGGTGGCGCAGCGGGTTAAAGCACTGCACTGAGAAGCTTAAGCCACTTCTGCATGAGTTCGATCCCCGCCTGTCCCGGAGGAGATCCACATGGCAGACCTCTCCTGCCCGCCCGCTGCTCCCCTCAGCAGTGTACTTTGTTGATCTGCCTGTTCTGCTCCCCACTCTGTCCCTGGTGAATCCTCTCACCCTCCGCATCTCTGGCCTGTATCCCAGTTCTGTATGAATAAATAAATAAATCTTAAAAAAAATAAAATAAAATAACTGTGAGGCTGGATGAGGAGCCGGTGGGGATACATCATGTCCTCTCTCTACTTCTGTGTTTGTTGGAAATTTTCCATAATAAAATGTCTAAAAATTTTGCTTGATGGTGTTCAGCTGCATGTTAGTTTTTTATGACTGTAACCAAAAGGAACCCAATTCCATCTTGCTTAAGCAAAAAAAGGAGGAATTTAGTTACAAATTAAATTGTGTGGCTGACTAGAGTGTAGGGTGGAGCTGGCCTCAGGAGAGGCTGGATTCACTGCGTTGAAAGGTGTGAGGAGCCTCTCCATCCTCCAGTATGACGTATGAGGTATGGCAAGTATGACAGGTATGACGTCTCTGTTCCTTTTGGCGCTTTGAGTCCATTGACTGGTGATATTCGCCGGTCACATGGTGGGGTCTCGGAGACCAGCTCCTGCTAGTAGGTCCATATCCTTGAGTTTTGTGATCAGAAAGGAAGAAGTGCTTTTAACTCTTGTTGTAGAATTTGAAAGGACCCAGGACCCCAATTGGCCTAGGTTAGGGTTCATGCCCCTACTTAAACCCGTCCCCTGTGGCTGTGAGGGGAATGATTGACCCACATGGGGTCCCTGACTACCTTTGTAGCTAGGAAGGTTGTTTTCTGAAAACTCAGTGGAGAGAGAAGGGCTAACAGATTGAAACAACAGCCAGCCTGGTAAGGGTTCTAGTTATTGGCACAAATTATTAGATTATAAACTGGCTTTGATTACTGATTATCTTTTTTCTTTTCAGTTGCTTAATTTGTTTCTGCCTCAATTTTTATATTAAAGTTTGGACCTGGCAGCAAAACTCATTGCAAAAAAAAAAAAAAAGCAATTTCCATCCCTTGCCCCATTTCCCTGCCTCAAAGGCAACTAGTTTCAACACTCTGAACTGATTCTTTTGATTTTTCTTCCATATATGTACATGGTATCCTTACACTGGTATAGTTGAAGTTTCAGTTTAGGCACTATTTATTGACTCCCGTCATGGGAATGATTGATGTCTTATACATGCACACACGATCTTTAATTCATGTACGTGCAATTCTACCTCCCTAAGTTCCCAGTAGATTATTTCAGCATTAAGCAATAATAAGAATTAAATTTAGGGTAAGAGCAGATATTAATTTTTATTATGTTGAAGAGTCCCTAACTGGCCTTATTCATTGAGATGGATTATGACTTGTGGTTATGACAAATGTCTTCCCAGCCAGGGAGGCTGGTTACTGTTATGGCTTTAGAAAGGATGGAAGAAAACTTGCCAGGGAAATACTCGGAGTAAGGGCTGGGGTGGAGATCAGCAGTGCCAAATATGCCTCAGCTTAGCAGAATTTGAAAGGGTGTTGTTATCTAGGACAGAAAGGTAGCTCTTTCGGAATCACCCACCAACCAAGCCTGAGAAGGCTGCTGCAACCAAAGATTCTAGTGTCCAAAGTCTACCTCCAGGGAAGGAGTCCTGGTCACAGAGAAAAGTTTCTTATCTTCCAAGAATTGAGGCCCATGAGAGAAAGGCCTGAACCACCTATAAAAACAAGCTTTCATAAACTTAAGAGAAGAAACTAGTCTGAAGGAGAACAAAGGTAAAAATCCTAGAAGATTCTCTGAGACTTTGTCAAATTAAACAACTTGAGTTCATGTGCCTCTAGTCTGTGCTGATGATACACACACTGAATTTCTTTTACTTGGAAGTGAAATTAACTGTGCACTTCAAATACTGGGCAAGCGTCATAAACTGGAAGAGTCTTTGGGGGCCACCTGCGTAACCAGAGAAGAGAAACATAATAAATTTCAAGGGGTTGGTTTGTGGAGCACATTTTATTTAAGAATACTGGAGAATTAACATCTAACAGCTGCATAATAAAAAAATGCTACACCAATCTCTAAAACTCACATACTGGTAAATACATCTTTTGAAAATTGTAAAAAAATAAAAATAAAGTAATAGGTTTAGAGATCAGTTAATAAAAATGTTTTTTTTAAAAAAAATCAAACTCATTCCATTATCAACAACAAAAACAGTTGTAATATACATAAGCTACATTCACTTTATAAAGAAGATTGTCATTTTTATTTTCTATAAAATATACCCAAATGTATCATACATATATGTGCAATATCCACATTCTAGAAGAGAAATCTTCAAATTAAAACATTTAATTTCTATACATTTTTTTTCACTTAACATAACTAATAACATCAACAATAGCAGCAACGCTGATCTTTAAATATTATATTACAGTAGGTTGTCAATATATATATTTTTGGTAGCGCTTCCGTGATCAATAATATTACTTAATACAATTTGTAAACTCCAAGGTCTTGGTCTCACATTGCCAAGTAACTTATAGAGTCTAGATTCAATAAATATCAATCCTATATAAAGAATAATTATAAAACACAAACTGCAGAACATTCTCCAAATCAAAAGGCTTTAGGGGAGAATCAGGCTTGAAGGAATGCTAAGAATCTGTAGGACTCCCAAGGCGAAAGCGAATCATCTCACAAGCTCCCAGAAATGGTAATAACTGAGCCCCGAGACCTGTGTCGGTGGGAGAAGTCACAGCCACCTCTTAATGGTTCCATGTTTCATTTGAAGAGTAAAGTGATTAACTGGAAACGTTGCCAATAAATAAGCATAAAATATTATTCACCAGGAGGCAAAGACACTGAACTGGGAGGTTGTTATTTATTTTTCAGCATTTACATTGACTCTGATGACCAAAGGCATAAAATCCAAGATTTCAACAGGGTCTTACGTATTTAAGCCTGGATAATAGGAAAATCATTTCTAAGCCCACCCGTCTGTATTGCTGGGCCAATTTGCTAACTGTATTGACTTCAAATGGAACCCCATGTGAGGTAACAGGGATTTCTTCAGAACTGGATTCTGTTACAGAAGTTGCCCCTGCAACTGAGGCCTCTCTTTATATTTCAAAGGTTTAAAGAAGTCTCACAATGGGGTTCAATCTGTATGCCTTATAAGAAGACTACTCTGACATTTTCATAGTTTGTCCTCATTTTCAAACCTCTTTATCTAATATTTCAAGTTGATCCTCACAAAAATGTGTGAAACCAGGACAGGCATCAAGTGCTCGCTTCAAAGACTCAGAGGTCACAGTGACACATTCTGTCCTGGCCACACATAGCAATAAACTGGCGAGGGTCTCCTGGAGTACCTAGCCTAGCCAACGATTACTTAATTGCAAGAACACAGACTTGATCATAGTTGCTTTCTGAAAACTGAAGTATTCAGAAGGGGGTAGGGAAAGAAAGAGTTCAAGAGAAGAAAGGGCGAGAAGAGGTGTCCCTTGACATCACATAAGCTTCAAAAGAAGCAAGTGCATTTCACAAGTAGAAAACAGACATTCAAAAACATTTAAAAACTTCCAAACAGTCTCACTTGGGCCTCAATGACTATATCTCTATGTAGTTAGTGAGGCTGACACTGAAATAGAACATCAGGAAGAAACTTTTACACATGTCCCACAATTTCCCAAGAATCTGTTAAAAGTGTTAGAGTCTGTCTTCAGGACCCTATCTCCGCCCCATTTCATCTCCAGGATAATACAGTTATATTAAAAATATATTTATATTGGATTCTGTTGGTAGAGTTCTAAGATTTCAGTTTTAGAAAATATTGTTAATGAACATTCTTGTTATGCCCTTAGGAAAATTACTTTTTCCCTCTGGATTTAAGCTGAGAAAGGGCAATAAGTTTAATCTTTAGATTTTAAAGTTGGATTCTATTTGGACAGTTGCTGAAGAAGTATGCAAAATTCTAAATGGCCATAATAGTTCATTTTAAAAACTGCATTATTTCATACAACTTTTCAAGAAAATTCAGTCATTCTCAGCTTGATAATTGCATAAAACAAAATTATACTAATTTCATTGTACATTGTAAAGAAATGTAATAATATACTATGAACCAGAAGACAGGTTCAATGTCTGGAATGTCAACACACTGAACTTTTCATCAGTACTTCATTTTAATTACATAACGTGTTTTAAAGAAACCATTGAATTAAAAAGAAAAACCCTTTACAACATCATGTGTGCAGGCCGTACCTGGCCTAATGCCCACCTTCCCTCACCCCCAGTTACATTCACATACTCTAATTACCTCACCACCAGCGTCTTCTCACCCTGAATTGAATAAATGAAATACTGAAAAGTAAATTATGCCTTGGCAAGCAGGAAGTTTGACATTTCTTTGAGCTCCTCTGAGGTAGTGGGGTTTCTCTTAATATTCTAATAATGAAGTCTAGGGAGCAGAATTAAGAGACAGTTATTGTACTTCGATTCTGTCTTGCAATGTGTTATCTGATTATAATCACCACCTAGCCCAAAACCTCAGCAGAGTCCTGATGAATAAGTAGAGAATTTAAGACGTTAAGGATGCTGTGCAATTAGTATAAGCCACAGTCCCTGGTGGGTGTTGTCCTACACATTTCTAAAAAAGTGCCTAGCACACAATAGGAGCTCAATAAATATTGGATGACTAGCTGCATATCTAAGATTTCTGATTTAACTCAGTGAGACTACAAACAAGAAGCAACATTGAAGAAAACCCAACCAATGCAAGCCAGTTCATCAAGGCTAGGTCACTTTCCATCGTGAAATTTTAGACACTTTTCAAACTATGAGATAGTTAAGTTCAAAGGATACCTGTCCTGATATTGTATGTGATTCCTTAATAATTTCAAATTCATATAGCTTATTTCCATCATGATTTTACTATAGTGATGTGACTGTGGGATTTTTATCCATAAATACTTTTTCTGAAGACAAGATGATCCACTCTCTCTGTTGTTCTTCAAGCTTTTCTGCCAGGCATTTAATCAAGACAGGGTCCACCTTAGAATCAAACTTATTAGCAAACCAATGCCCATCTTTTATAAGCCACCTTAATTCAGCTGCTCCATAGATACACACACTTCGGAGGTGGAAGCCAGTACAACTCGGGTAGAAAAGGCCTTCATGGTAATTCCATTTGACAAGGCGGGTCTTACTCTGCAGATCAGACACATCCTGGGCTGACCTAGAAATCTCCCCAGGTACTCCAGGTACCCTAATTAAGGTGGCCCAAAAATGTTCATCAGGTGAGTATGTATCTTTAGACCAGGCAAAAAAGTCCTGAACGAGGGAGTTGTTGAAAATATATTTAATAAACGCTCGGCTTAAAACAAAATAAGCACTGCCAACAAATATCTCAATGTTATGAGGTGGGGCTTCCTTGGAGATGCTTGTCCTGATTGGTAGCTTCACATACTCATAAGGCACCTGTCTGAGTTCATGGTGATAAGTGAACCTTTCCATTTTACTTGTAGGGGGTTTCACCGTCTCTAACATATTTGCTCCATTGAGTTTCTTCAACTCTGATACTAATTCAAAGTTTGACTTCAAAGGAAAATCTTGGCCACATAGGTTGATTACATATTTCCATTGAACTGAAGACCTGAGAAGGTCTGACAAGCAATTTAAATCCGCTTGGAGTCTGGAAATGTGGGCATATTGCACAATCTCTAATTTGGAAGCAATGAAAATATTGGAGAAGCACTTAGCTAAATTGTTCATGGCAACTTTGAAGTTATTTGGTGACTTACGGTCATAATGGATGCAGTAAATATTGTGCCGATTGTATATAGCATGGATCAGCCTTTCGACCATAATTGCATCTTTGTGAACAACCAAAGAATAGGCAATTGGAAAGTTCTTTTCCTCCCTTGAAACAAGCTTTTGATTGTAATTTCTTAGTGTCTGATAAATGTCACAATCACTGGTCATTGCCACCACATCGTCATCTTCTAAGTCAATGATGTCTCTTCTTCTTATTTCCAGACTCTTGCCAATTTCCAAAGGTTCCTGTTCATAGACACCTGAACAGTTAATTTCATATGCGACTTCATTTTTCATGTGGGTGTACCTGTTTCTTACAAAAGGTGAGGTACTTAGAGAGTATTCAACCAAGTAAATACCTCTTTTAGGAAAAAGAAGTCTCCCCACATTTAGAAGCTTCAGCAAGGAGAACAGCCACAGGGTTAAAAACAGGATGAATACTTTCTGCTGCAGGGGGTATTTAAAACAACATTTGAATGTCTTCATTCTGTAAGAGGAAAAGGTATAATTCAGTTCAGATAGTAAGAAAAAATTAGTTCAGTTCAACCAAGATTCAGTGGACACCTCCCAGACAGATGCCAGGCCAGAGATGAATGTGTGGAATGGTGGTATTTTGTGGTATTCTGTGTTGACTGTAACAATTTCAAGAGATGTTGACTATCAAATAGATTGGGAAATAATATGTACTCCTAAAATATAGGTGCCATCTATCTTACATTCTCATGCTTCTGCTTAGCGTATTCGGGGAAGGATCACTCTGGTTTGGGCCGAGGTCTAGAGACTTGGATGTCACCAAGAGGTCCTGGAGGTGCAAATGGCTTATCCAAAGCTCAACAGGAACAGACATGTGGCATCTACCTGTAGATTCTGTTAAATCTAGGTCTGAATAAGATGAGGAAAGCCCAGTGAATGCCTCTACTATAGTCAAATGAATGTTTGTATCCCCCTAAATTCACACGTTGAACACTAGTTCCCAATTATTAAGAGATGGGAGCTTTGGGGAGGTGATTAGATCATGAGGGTGGAGCCCTCATGAATGGATTGGTGTTCTTGTAAAAAGACTCCAAGAGTTCTCTCGCCTCTTCGATCATGTCAGGACACAGAGGATCGCTGACGATGAACTAGGAAGAGGGTTCTCTCTCGTTACTGAATCCGCCAACACCTTGATCTTGGGATTTTCAGCCTATAGAATTGTGAGAAATATATTTCCATTGTCCATAAGCCCCGCAGCCTATGGTATTTTAATTTCATAGTTTGGATAAACTGTGACACCCACCTTCAAAAACAAAAGTAGTATACAGACATCCAAAAAAACTAGAGCAGGTATCAAAGAATATAAAAACCTTCATAAATTACACAAATACAGTAAACCTCCAGAACCCCATTGTTTTTAATTTTGTTAACCCCCATTTCCTCACAAGAATTAGCTATTTAGTTCTTAAAATGAAAACAACCTGACTCACTGAGAGTGGGTGGGGGGTGTAAAGCTACACTGGAGGGCAGCTTGGTAAATACCTGCCAGCTTTAAATGTACCCACCCAGAAGATGGTGTGTGTGTGTGTGTGTGTGTGTGTGTGTGTGTGTGTGTGAAGAAGATGTGTGCACAAGGAGGTCCCCAATAGGGTTGTTTGTCAGGCTACAAATGGAAAGCCATGAAGACATCCTGGAATGGAGCATTGGCTAATTACGCTCATGCGCTGTCAAAAAATAGCCTGCGACAGATCCACATGTGCCCAAATGGGACAGTCTTCACAACAGAAATAAGCAAAGTACTGAACCATACAGTGAGCTCACATGTGTACCCCCAAAAGGCTATAACACACAAGTGTGTACACGCAAAGAGCACGTGTTGGCAAACTTTTTCTGTCACAACTACTCAGCTCTGCTGTTGTAGTGGGAAAGCAGCCCAGATAATGTGTGAGTGGGTGTGGCTGTGTTCCAATAAAACTTTATTTACAAAAACAGGCAGCTGGCTGGATCTGGCTCATGAGTGAGTTATTTCCAGAAGCACATTGTACAGACACCACACTGGGGGCAGGAATTATTTTCCAGAACAAGGGTGGGAAAGGACTGAGGACTGAGGGTTTGGGTGAGTGAGGGATTGACTTGTCACTGAAAAACCTGTACAATTAGAATTTTAGAAATGACTATCTGACCTTTTCAGGTGAAAATGGGCTAACCAAGAAAAGAACATAGATGTGGGGGTTCTTGGCAACAGCAGGAAGGGGAATTCCAAGGAAGCACCACCCAAGGCCTAGGCAAAGAGAGCTGGGGAGCTCTGACAGCTGCTTCAAACAGGTTATAATAGAGAGAAGACAGGATGTCTTGAGGCTTCATATGCAGCTTCCTAATAAACATCCCAATAAGCCTTGAAAAAGCAAATAATTATTGTACTCCATTTTCTTATTAGCAAGACATTTAAACCTGACTTATCTCTGTAGAGTTCTTCAATGTAATTCACTTAGAATTCACCTCACTTGAATCACACATCTCATCAATAGGGAACGGCCCTGTGGAACCCAAGTTCCCTCTGGCCACATGGCAGCCCCTCAGGCTGCTGTCCCCACATCCAGGGCTCAGCTCACAGTCCCTCACACACATTCTTCTCAGCTCTGTGGATTCTGACTTCCGCATATACACAGACAGCAGCTGCTCCTCCACCCTGGCTTCTGATACAAGGATCCAGCTGCTTGAGGGACATCTCTACCGGATCCCATAGACACTCAACCTCTAAAAGTCCAGAACGGAAAGAGATCTCTTTACTTCTCCTGTGTTTTCTGTCTCACTTTGTGGTGAGATCATCCACTCCATGTATCAGTCTTAGAACATGAGCATCACTGGCTGATGCCAACTCCCTTTCCCCTCACTCACACCCACATTAACAAGTCACCTCATGCATATGCCTTGAATCCACTCCTTCTTCTGCACACCATCAGTAGGCAGAGACAACATCTTTGCTGAATCAGCAACCAGATCAAGGGCGTCCCAAGCAGGCACATGGCTAGGGGTCCCTTAGTAGGTTTTGCTTTCTGCCCCTTAAAGCAGACTGATCAGTGTTCTTCCTCTCAAGCTCACCGCCAAGGTTCCTGCTAGTTGTTACAAAGTGTGGCAAAACTGACTTCTGCTGCAAAGCAACACAAACTACAATCCTAGAAACCTGAGCAAATGGTTGGAATTCAGTGCTACGATAAGACTTAAAATATTAATTAATTCCAAATCAATCAATCAATCATCAATCAACTTATACTGTCACTGTCCTTATTCATGGTAATTGGGCATAACAGAAGCAGGTTAAATAAATGGCTAAATTAAAATAAATCTTGCTCAAAGGGCCTAATTTCTTTTTCTTTCTTTTTGTTTTGTTTTTCTTTTTCCCATTTTCTTGGTCCACAGAATCTTTAACATCAGTTAATAGTTTCCCTGATGCCATCGTAATAAAGGACCTCCTATTATAAAGAGGTTTATAAAGTTTCCAGAAATGTAATGTCCCTTATGGTGTGCCACTTAACTGTCATCTTCACACTTACCTGACAAGGCGAAGGCCAGCTCACTAGCCTGTCACTCGCGTCCAGGGCCTCTCCTGCCCCCAGCCTGCCCTGCCCTTCCTGTGAACACCCAGACACACACTTCCTGACTCCAGCCTGGAGATTCTGGTTAAGCAAGACCATGATACCTGCACCAAGAGAGGGTGGGGACAGGTCACAGGGAAAGGAGAGGTGCAGACACACTGTGAGACGTCCTGGGGGCACTGGTCCTGGGGTCCATGTCTGAGCTTCTCCAGCCAGGAGATTGTAAAGGAGATACACTGCTGAGGAAAGCAGCAGGTGAGGCAGAGGTCTGTGGCACCATGTGGATTACCTCCCTGACTGGGGATCCAACTCGTGCTGCAATAACACTATAGTGCTGGGACTTAACTCCTTGTGCCTCCAGGGAGGCCCCACTCTATCTCTGGTGAACTTTCCCACCCCCACCCTAACATGTCTAGCCTATCACCCAGCTCTTGGATGCACAAATAAAGTGAGGATAGTCTCATCACCTCTTTTCTCATCCTCCTTCCATCCCAGCATTATTAAGGGGAGAGCGTGTTTGTCTATCTATAGGTTTTATATCAGGGAAACAGCCAGCCCCCTCCAATGCTATCCTATCCCAAGTCAAAGCAAAGTCACTTTGCTCTGAATGCATTCTTTCCCTAAAATTAAAAGTAAAAAGGTGCAAATCCATTAGTGCATGAACTTTTGTCAAATCCTGAAAGGAGTGACTGGCCTCTTCCCAGCCGTGGTGAGAGGGCAGCGCGTGTCTCCTCCCTCCACCCCGCACCCCCCAATACTGTGGTTAGAAACCACAGTTCCGGGAGTTCTGCACAAAGCAGAATACATACTGGAAAAAGGCTATCTGCTGGTAGCTGAATCATGACCACCAGTTTCGCCTAGATGATGCCAGCGCCACCACGAGCTTCCAAAAACGCGAAGAAAAGTGCCAAGGTAACAGTGGGGGCCTGGGCAGCCATGATGGCCGGCCGAATCTCAGACACCCTTACAACCGGGGTGGAGATGGGCTGGGGGCGAGTGGCACGACCTCCCTTTCCTGCTGCCTGCAGGCCGCAGGTTTGGAGGGGACGGGAAGCAGCCCCTGAGCAGATCAGGCTGTTCCAAAGCAGGCTCTCAGGCTGGCCGCATGGTTTCTAGGTGACCAGGACATCAATGCCACCTTCTGCAAACATCCTGTCATGTTTCCCTCTTAAAGGCTCACGGGTAGAGAGCAATCAGGTGTTTTGGTGCCAGGAAATAGTTCCATAATTACATTATAAATAACTTCCTCTGCTTGGGAGGAGGGGCGTTTTGCCTGTCATCTGCCCTAGTTGACGGAGAACCCCCACCTGCGTGGCATGTGTGTTGCCCAATCGGTACAAGTCGCTGGCGATAATGACAGAACCGAGAAGGAAAGACTTGATTGCTATCGTTCAGCTGCAATAAGATCTATTTGGATAAGTCTGCAACCCTTCCAGGAAGTTTACAACCTTCAAGAAAACAGCAGGAGCAGGAAGATAGACCCCGGCTAAGTGGTTATAATTGCATCCAGGGCTAAATGGCCACAACCATTAGCACTCTCCTTAAGTCAGCAATTTCAAGACACTAGACTGTCAAAAGAGAAGGAAGCAGAATGGTAAATAGAAAACAAACAGGGGTGGGGTAAAGGGGAAAGAAGGAGAGTGAGAGAAATATGAGAGGAGAGTTCCACCATTCATGCGTAATTGCACATTAGATGACATTTGCCCCTCCCCTCCCTACTCCCTTCCTACACCCCTACAATTCTTTCTGGTGGCTCACACAGGTAGTGGTAAACTTAGCAGTGGGAAAGGAGGTGGGTGGGCTTCAGGACGTGAATTTGAATCCCTGAAGAAGCACAGTCGCTGTAGCAGCCATGGAACTAGTTAACCTCTAAAGTCAATTTTCTTGTCTCAAAAAGGGGGTGAGGGTTCTGGAGTCT